GGGGAATCCAGCAAGTATAGATACATTCCTGTGCTCTTATCCATATTGCTGTAATGCGCGTTCTTTTATGAAAGGGGAGGCGCCAAATTATTACATACTTTTGAGGGAGGCGTAGTAACTTTAAGTTTGGAAACCACTGCCTTAAACAGAGTTGTCGTTCGAATGCACACATTTATGGGTCGTAATCACGTTTAAAATGGAAACGAAATACGCAAAAACGTATAAAAGACAAAGTGGACATGCGGGATCATTCTGCATTCTACTTGTGTGCAGAGAAGTTGAAAGAAAAGTTAAACGTATTACTTTGCTCGCGAAAACAAAGATTTCTTCGCTGGAAATTGCATTCTAGCGAGAAGGAAACTGCGACCGTTTCGCAGCCTCATTCATATTTATATCGCATAAACTGAATTTTAATTGTTATTCCGAGTGGAAACGTCTAGGGACGACGGCGCAACGCAAAGGACAGTTAAGACACTGTAAATGTTTTTGTTTTTCCACCCATCTCCAAGGAGAAGAAGCTAATTCTGCACGAGAGGTGCGTTTCTTTCTTTCGCATACATTTGCGTAATTAAATTGCAATCTGCATATTTCGCTGCACACATTTAAATTAAGTATAAATTGTTTTATTTTGCAATCAATTATGTTTTATAACAGTTCCAGGTTTTCTCTTAAAGCCTACAACTGCAAATGAATTGTCTTTTAATCAATTAATTCAAGTATTAATTAAAGATTAATTCGCTTTTGGGTATCGATTCGAATAATTAATGACAATTAGATTGGATTACTTGGATTACAGTTATTATCCTGGCGAATGAATGATTTTCTTTGATCCTTCTGGGAATTTCGGTGATTAGGATCGGTTTATGAACACAGCCCTTTCCTTCTCTCTCTCTCTCTCTCTCTCTCTCTCTCTCTTCTGCTAGTGTTCCTGCTNATTGATTTATTGGTGACCGCAACAGCGAGCCTTAATGGTGATTAATGTCCGCCAAACCCTCAGGTCATTACTGCTAACACACACACGAACACAACAATGAGAAGGAGTAGATGTGCGGAGGAGAGCACAAAAAGCGAGAAGGAACTGGAACGGATGTGTAGCTAAACGCAGGAAAGCAGATCGAATCAGAGATGTAGACGGCGAAGTTAAGGCCCTTAACTTTTGTTGCCTCTGATTCTGATGGGGGAAGATAAAATACGGGCAAAACAACAAATTATCAGCTTCTGCTGCGATAACATTCGGCTTTGCATAATTCCTCGGCCAAACAATAAATTTTAAAGTTTTGCAGCTCTAATAAATTGTAAAATTATCTTAAAACGTTTGTCATAAAAGAAACGTTACTATTTCATTTCTCAAGAACTTTAAGATGAAACAATAGAAATTTATATTTTATTTATCAATAGTTTCTTCAAATATTCTAGTTATGTATGATATAACTTAATAATAAAAAAAAGTTTCCAATTGTGCGTAAATTAAATAATCTAGTTGGTGTGATTGTATTAACAATATTAAGAAACGTTACTATTTCATTTCTAAATAACTTTTAGATGAAACAATAGAAATTTATATTTCATTTATCAATAGTTTCTTCAAATATTCTAGTTACGTATGATATAATTTAATAATAAAAAAAAATTTCCAATTGTGCGTAAATTAAAAAATCTAGTTGGTGTGATTGTATTAACAATTATGTCATAAAAGAAACGTTACTATTTTATTTCTAAATAACTTTTAGATGAAACAATACAAATTTATATTTTATTTATCAATAGTTTCTTCAAATATTCTAGTTATGTATGATATATAATAATAGTAAAAAACAAATTCCAATTGTGCGTAAATTAAATAATCTAGTTGGTGTGATTGTATTACCAATTATGTCATAAAAGAAACGTTACTATTTCATTTCTAAATAACTTTTAGATGAAACAATAGAAATTTATATTTTATTTATCAATAGTTTCTTCAAATATTCTAGTTACGTATGATATAATTTAATAATAAAAAAAATGTTTGCAATTGTGCGTAAATTAAATAATCCAGTTGGTGTGATTGTATTAACAATATTAAGAAACGTTACTATTTCATTTTTAAATAACTTTTAGATGAAACAATAGAAATTTATATTTTATTTATCAATAGTTTCTTCAAATATTCTAGTTATGTATGATATAACTTAATAATAAAAAAAATGTTTCCAATTGTGCGTAAATTAAATAATCTAGTTGGTGTGATTGTATTAACAATTATGTCATAAAAGAAACGTTACTATTTCATTTCTAAATAACATTTAAATAAAACAATGGAAATTAATATTTTATTTATCAATAGTTTCTACAAATATTCTAGTTATGTGCGATATAACATAATAATGAAAAGAATGTTTCCAATTGTGCGTAAATTAAATAATCTAGTTGGTGT